CATCTACCTAAAACCTAGCTTCATCTAGCTAAAATCTAGCTTCATCTAGCAAAATCTAGACTTCATCTAGCTAAAAATCGCACGAACTTTTCGTCTAACCAAATAGAAATGATGGAAACAATTAACTAAAACTTTTTAATCTCATGGTTGCTGTGATTCTGCTTTGAAATGTACCGGTGAAATGTTGAAGAGGTATTTCTATGGGGACTCTATCAGAAAGGTTGAAGAGGTATTTCTATGGGAACTCTATCAGAAATGTTGTAGAGGCATTTCTATGGGGACTCAAGTTAATGTTTTAAGTACCGTATTTTCTCTAATAGTAGTGCAACCTCAGGTTTAAGAGATTGATGACGCAGTTTAAAGAACAGTGTATAGAAAGCTGTCACATCGAAGGAAAAGTGTAATAGAAATATGTATTTTTCATAGGATTATTCATAGAAATTTGAGCATAGCAAGGCCAAAGAGCGGCAAAGTTTAAACGGTCTGGGATGAGGATCAGTTGGAAAGAGAAACGAGAGTAATGCCAAAGCACTTTATGGCAAAGCCAAAGCACTTTATGCCAAAGCCAAAGACTAGCCAAACCAAAAGCGCATGCCAAAGCCAAAGCTACCAAAGCCAAAGCACAAAGCCAAAGCACTTATCCAAACAAGCCCCGCCAAAAAGCACTTAAGCAGCACTTAAAAGCAAAGCACTTATGCCCAACAATGCCAAAGCCAAAGCGCCTTATGCCAAAGCCAAAGCACCTTATGCCAGAGGGCTTTGCCAGGCGGCGAGTGATTACGCGACCGCACAAAGAGCGCCTCTTTCACAAGGAGCTTTGTGTTGGTTCTTGGTGCCAAATGAAGATATTCAGCTCTAAATTTGTATCGGTTTTTGGGGGTTTTCGGACTCGGGAATCGATCGGGAATCGGGAATCGAAGATCTATTTCTTTTATTGAGTCTAGTGGGACTCGGGAATAAGTCTTGAGATAAACAAAAAAAAAATTCCATCTACCTTGAGTATATCGAGCCAAAAGAACAGCTAAACACTGTTTTCCCAAATTTCTTTTATCTCTTTTATCTCTTTTATCTTTTCACATTCTCGCAATCGTCTTTTGTTCACCTGTTCACAGAACATGGCCGTTAAAGCGAAAACTTTGGTGTCAAATATCAGCTTTCTTTTGCCTTTGTTTCTTGTCAGTTTTCTAAAAACCTAAAATCACATCTGTTGGGTGACTTTGTTTTTGAAAATGGCATAAAGTTTCAATTGTTTATTTAAATCAAAATTTTAAACTTAAAACCAATACATTCCTTTAACAGAAAACCTTTCTCAACTCGATTTTGTCCCGAAGAAATTTGACCAATCAAGCCAAAATCCCAAGTTTTTCAAAAGCGAGTCTTCCTTTGCAAAAGAGAAAAAAAAGAATAATTCACTTTGCTGCTTTCAGCGTTCAGAAAGGGAACTTTAATCTAAGCGTCAAAAATTTGTTATGAAGATTGTGAATTGTTTTCGGGCTTCACAGAATGGAATGGGGAAGTGGATTTGTGACCTGAAAATTTGCCTCTTCATTTTCTTTTTGAGTTGTTGTTTTGTCACTTGTCTCTTCTCAAAACATGTTTTGGTAATTTTCGATTCTATCCCGCTATACAATTGTTTTAAGTTGTTTCATCTTATTCATTCAATTGTTTCATTTTAAGTTTTACCCCCGCCAGTCAATCCTGTCCAGTTTTGTTTTGTATTAACGGTTCCAATACGGTTCCAATAGAGCTCCTATTTTGATCCAATACGGTTCTAATACAGTCCCTATTTTGATCCAATACGGTTCCAATATGTATTAACATATAAAACAAAACAAGGATCCTGGGGGATCCCCTTGGAAACTTGGATAATTTTGGAAACGGCCGATCCCCTTGGATTCACCCCAAAAGAGATCCATTCACATCCCGTTTTACATAGACTTAAGTCAAAGTCTTTTATCGATAAAGATAGATAAATGGATTTTCTTGAGGATCTGATCTTGAAAGGGTGGAACCTTGAAATAGTGGACAAGTTGGAAATTAGAAATCCAGAAGTGGTGTAATAATCTTACAGCTTTCAGTTTTACCCCCGCCAGTCAATACCATCCAGTTTTGTTTTGTATTAACATACAAAACATACAAAACAAAACGAAGATCCTGGGGGAATAATTTTGGAAACGGCCGATCCGCTCGGATTCACCCTAAAAGATTCACCCCAAAATCTAAGCGTCAAAAGTTTGTTATGAAGATTGTGAATTGTTTTTGGCTTCAGCGAATGGAATACGGAAGTGGATCTGTGGCCTGATTAAAAATTTACCTCTTTCTTTTCACTTTTCACTCCATTCACACCCCGTTTTGCATAAACTGAAGTCAAAATCTTTTATCGGTGAAGATAGATAAATGGATTTTCTTGAGGATCTGATCTTGAAGGGGTGAAACTTTGAAATAGTGAACAAGTTGGAAATTAGAAATCCAGAAGTGGTGTACTAATCTTACAGCTTTCCAATACCGTCTTACCAGCTCAGGCTTGGATTTATCTACGTTAAACCAAGACCCTAAATACACTGCTCTACACTGCTCTACACTGCTCTAAATACTCCAAATGCTAGCAGCGTTTAGATCTCGAAAGTTTTGTATGTTAATATATCCCTATATGCTAATTGACTGCTGGAGGCATCACCGAAATGAGGAGGTGGTGGGAATAATCGAATTTTATCCATGTTTTCCATCAATTGTTAAATTAGTCTTTGTCCTTTACAGGTATTATTCATGAAGGAGAAAACCTAGTACCTAGCAAAATCTATTAGTTTTAAAAATTTTGCTTTAATCCGGTTGGCTTAATCGACTGGCTAAGAGTCCTATAGCTTAGTCGGGAGGCTAAGGGTTCAATTCGATTAGATTATTAGTTCTTACGGCTAGATTATCAGTTCTTTTTTCCTAGATGTACCGTATTCTCTCTAATAGTAGTGCACACGGTCGAGCCGAGTTGATGACTATTTTACAGTTCCCAAGTTTTCGCAGAAGCTCAACACTCTAATCCCCCACTAGATCTCATCGTCAGCTACATTTTCCGACTCCACATCGATAGGTTCTGATAAGCGCTTTTCGAGATTTCGAGCAATTTAGGCGAAGTTTAGGGTGCACTACTATTAGAGAGAATACAGTATATGGGTTTTTTTTCTTCCCTATATTTAGGGCTTTGGGGTTATGCTTGTGTATTGTTTGTCCAACATTATTCGTCTGAATTGATTATTTTTTAAATTAAAGAACTTTAAAAAACGATTAGCCTAGTTAGCTGAATACTTTTTACTCGATCTAGAGTCGATTAAATTACGTTATCTAAACGGTATCTGTTTTAAAAACTATCGTAAGTTGAATCGAAAGAAAACTACTGCAATCAAATCATCAGTTTGCACAGAATCAACCAAATTTTGTATCATAAGCCTAACCTTTCAGTTCTTCAGCGAATCATCTCAAAAACTGAGCTAATTGAATGTAAACTAGCGGTTTGATGACGGTGTTTTTCTAAAATAGGTAGGTTCCTTTACGATAGTGAATTACTCGAAAGGAACAAGTCTATTTGCACAAAAAAGTCTCGCACTTTCCAGAAATACTAGAACTAACAGATGTTTTTTGCATTTTCGAAAATTTGGTACAAATTTTGGCATCTAAAGTTCATTGAGCAATAGCCCGTAAATAGCTCTGAACTTCTACAATTTCTGAGAACGAGAAGTCCAAAAATTCCTTTCCAGACCGCCTTTCAAGAAGAAATTTCTTTCCAGAAATCCCTTCTTTCCAGCCTTTCCAGAATCTCTGAATCGAAATCACTTCCTGATTGATGAAAAATTAACGCAATTCCCTAAAGGAGTTTAATGAAAAGAGCCATTATGGGGCCATTATGAGGGACCCATTATGAGGCCAGAGCCAAATTCACTTTAAATTCCTAATGCCGTTCCATTTTTTGAGTTTTGAATCAAAAAAGGACTAAAGTTTGTAAAGGATTGGGAATTTTTATGAAATTTTGTAGTTCAATACAATTTTTAAACGAGATTCGTTTTCGGTGGACAAGAATTTAAGCGAATATTTGTATCTGATCATTGAATTTGATTCTCTTGATTTGAATTTGAATTTGATCATTGAATTTGATTCTCTCGGCTTTTCTTGATTGAAAACTTTTGTCGTTTTTATCTCTTATCAATTTATAACCTCTCACTTTTTTGATTTGTAATTTTTAATAAGCTATACACTGTTGAACATACTTCTACGACCACCCCATTTCTCAAAAACTTTAAGAACAATGATATCCCATGAAAAATCAGGTTTTAAATAGTATTTATAATAATGATTGATGTAAGAAGACAGGAGAAAACCTGAGCATCAAGTTTAATTATCAAAAAGATTTATTGAAAAGCCGCTTTCTTTCTTGTAAAATTATGATCACTTGCCGGAAGAGGCTTTTCAATAAATCTTTTTTTAAATTAAACTTGATGCTCAGGTTTTCTCCTCTCTTCTTACATCAATTATTATTATAAATACTATTTAAAATCTGATTTTTGATAGAATATTATTGTTCTTAAAAAGTTTTTGAGAAATGGGATGGTCGTAGGATTATGTCCAGCAGTGTAGTTGCTCTTTACCTTTTATATGATAATGACAGCTATGACAACTCAACCGTTTCTCACAATTTCAAGAACAAGTATGCTTTTAAGCCCTAGATCCTTTAAGTCAAGCCAATCTAGGCCAGCAAAAAGGCTGATCCAAGACTGGTTTGGTACAAGATAAGACTGGCCTCTAGCTAGTCCATGTTTGTGGCTGATTGGTTTAAGTCAAGCCAGCTCAAAGTCCAGCTCAAACTTCAAGATCTGCCTTTTGGCTTTTCCTAGCCTTGAAAAAGAATTGTGGAACAACTTTGCTAACTGTAAGGAATATTTTCTTTCATTTTGGTTACAGCTGGTTTTTCAAAACGCTTCACACAGTCTATTCATAGTTTTTTTTTTCAGAAAATGGACAAATGGTTAATATTTCTATTATCAGTACTATCTATCGTATGCTTTGGATACGAGAATTATGAGGCAAATCCGACAAAATCCTCTCCATTCCCTCAAACACCTCGTCCTACTCAACCGAATGAGATGGCGAAGCGAAGATGTTTGTTTTTTTGGGTTGAATTTTTGAGCTCACTTGCGTGAGGTATTAAATTTGTATTCGAATATGTAAGAGTTCCGCTTTTCCTGAGATTCTAGTCTTTTCGTGCTTTGAATTTTTAAAAACATCAAATAAAATTCTCTAAAGAGAATTTTGTCAAAATCAGGTACCGGTATTTAGTAAATGACGATAGAAGTTCAAGGATCAGAAAGGTGTTGCAAAGTTCTTGAACGGCTGCTCATTGATGGATTAAAAGGAATAAATGAAGAGAGTTCTCCGAGTATTATATATAATTTGAAAGCCCTTAATGAATACTACAAAATAGAATAGCTAAATCAACAATTTATGCCAATGTTGGAAAAATTTAAGGACTTGAACTCCTGAAAAAGATGATCTTCTGTTTTAAATGAAAGTTTTAAATCAACAATTAGTGCCAAACTTGGAGAAATTTCATTTAAAACAGAAGATCATCTTTTTCAGGAGTGTCACGTTCAGGTCCTTAAATTTTTCCAACCAGTTCACCATATGGGTGCGGTTACCTACAGCACTCGGTTCAGGGAATATATCCCTGACTTATCTGCTGGATTCGAACCAGAGACTAACCGAGCCCAACGTTACTTAACTTGGCAGATCTGTCCGGAAGTCGTGTTTCAAAGTGGCAAGGCCGTAGCTATACCATAGGCTGTGGCGAGTCTTTTCAGTTTCTATCAGAACTTTCAAAAATCTTTTCAGTTTCTAGAACTTTGTCTTAAGTGTATGCACTGATTGGTGAGGTTTTTATTCCCGTATTTAATGCAGATATAATCAGTATAATAACTGGCCTAGTTGACGTTAAAATAGAAGATCATCTTTTTCAGGAGTGTCACGTTCAAGTCCTTAAATTTTTCCAACATTGGCATAAATTGTTGATTGATGTTGATTTGATCAGCTATTCTATTTTGTAGTATTCATTAAGAGCTTTCAAATTATATAACACTCTGAGTACTCTCTTCTTCATTTTCTTCTTTTAATTCATCAATGAGCATCCGTTTAAGAATTTTGTCGCATCTTGTAGTGATTAGAAATCGTTTATGAGATAATTTCTAATCACTACAGGATGCAAAAGTTCAATAAATGTTGAGCTGAAATTTTCCTAGAAACACACGCTTTCTGGAGCTCTCAATTCTTTATTTACTTTTGTAACTTACAAAAAGATCTAGAATAGGATATTCAGTCTAGAATAGCTAGATTACGGTATTTAGTCTAGATTAGAGTATTTTAGAGTATTCAGTCTAGACTGTCTGGATTACAGCAAAACAAGCTAATAGTTAGAAAGAGAGTGTACCAAAAAGCGTGTATTTTCATTTTTAAGCACAAAGTACTTGCTGTAAACGTTGGAATACAGAGATTTAGCTATGAAACAGGTTTGGCGACTATACTCTCTTTATTGATTATTTTATTATTGAATAGTTTTCTGCTGAATAGTTTTCTAAAAGGTGCTCCTGGGACAGCTACCGTACGACTGTCTCATTGTAGTTTAAAACAAGTAGTTGACAGCACGATTAGAGTCGTTTTTCCGTAAGCTTTCTAGACATGGGAAAATTCCAACCCAAACCTAATTCCACCTTCATTTTCTTAGTCGTTTCTTGGTCAATTGCTCTGAAATTTTGTCTACAAGCTGAAAATGTCGATTTCTAAATGTAGACAAAATTTCAAAGCAATCCACCAAGAATCGGCCAAGAAAATGAAGGTGAAATTGGATTGGGATTGGAATTTTTCCATGTTTAGTGCTTTCTAGGAAACATTTGTTTATCGATATTGTTTAAGACATTGTTTATCGTATATTTCATTAATAAATCACCTAACTTTCTTACAAGATTTCAGGAAAATTTCGTAGTTTAGTTAGTTTTCGGGTTCGTGCTTCAAAAAGAGACTTGCGAGGTCAGCTCGAAGAAACGATGAGCACTGTATTATTTTCATTTGCACAGCACTCTCAAATTTGGGAATCTCTAACATCATATAGATCATCATTTAAGGTCTTTTATCAAAAAACAAAATTTAGCCTAACTGTTTTCCCCTTTATTTTTAGCAATATGAATGTATACCTTTAGATTCCCCAAGTTCGAGAAATCCTAAAAATTCAACGCCAACACCACGTAAAACAGCTTCCACCCAATGTTCGTTTGCTGAAATAAGCGTTTTTTTGGCTAAAATGCGTCCTCATTTTCTTTACCCAGTGTTGCCGTGTTTGTCTACTAAAATTCTATGCATGTTTACAAGGAGAAGAAGGGAAGCTAGTCAAAACAGCCGTGTACAAACAGCGCCGTGTACAAACAGCGCCGTGTACAAAAGCGCCGTTTACAAACAGCGCCGTTCACGAACAGCTCCGTTCACGAACAGCCGTTCACGAACAGCGCCGTTTACGAGCGGCGCCGTTTACAAGTGGTTTAAAAGTGGAAGCTAGATAAAAGCTAGAGATCTAATTGTCAAGTTCTTCTTCTATTAGTCTAATCATCAATCTTAAAGTGAACTACAGTCGAACCTCAATGTAATGAATCGCTCGGGATCGAAAACTTTGATATAACAAACCTAAAACGTGCCCAAAATTTCTGCGTAGCTGCCTTGGAGGGCCATTGATTACATTTGGCTGGGGCAGCTACACAGGAATCTTGGGCACTTTTTAGAATCTCAAATTCATTTTATCGAAGTTCGTTATCGTTATCGTTATCGAAGTTCGACTGTATTTCTGATTAGTTCATGTTTATCTCAGCAAAGATTACGATAGTTTTCACAAATTGGCCTTCAAGAACTACACTTCATCTCTAATTGTGAATTATAAAGTAAAACTAAGGTAATCTTTCTAAAGTAATCTTTATAAAACCTGTAAAAAAACTGTAAAAAACTGTAAGACTGTAAGAAACGTAACTCTGTAAGAAACTAACGTAAGAAACCTCTGTAAGAAACTACCGTAATCCTTCTAATACCTACTGTAAGGAGCTTTGAAATACAAGAATTTCGAAGACTTTCTAAGCTTTCCCAATTCCTAGATGATGGATTAAGTCTTAAGACAACTGTTTACAAAGGCTTCTCACACATTCAAAAGTTTTCCCTGGGGTTTGAAGAACTAGAAGTTTGAGAAATAGGCTTGAAGAAACCCGGAAATTTAGAAACTCTCACGTGCCAATGCTTTTGTCCCAAAAGCTAAGAGTGAAATAGAAATGTTTTTCAAAAAACCGAACCCGCGTGCAAAAAGTGTTTATTTCAGTGCTCGCCGAAACGGAACTCGAAGAGCCGACAGCTCAGACTTTGATGAAAGCTTTGATGAACAAGAGGGGAGAAAATATTTTGAGACCCCGGCGAAATGCCTCGACATCGGTGGATGTCACGTTCAAAATGGAATTATATCAGATCATTGAATTGGTAGGAAAACGAATTGTTTGATAGATTGGATTATCACGTGTAGAACGAGGATCAATTCAGCATCAAAATCTCAGTTGTTCGGTTGACAGAGATAAATTTTTTGGGTCAGGCTGATCCTGGCCAAAAGGCTGACCCTCGGCGACTGGTTCTGTAGCCCTGAGCTCCGGAAGACTTCTGGCTGGGCTTAGATTCAGAACTTGGAAGCCTGCTCTAGCTTACAGATTCTAATAGTAAAGCCCGGTTAAAACATTCTTAGATAGAAGCTATCTTATTGCTAGCCTGATACGATCTTCGTCAACTCTGATCTGAAATCTCTGACACCAAGTGAAAGTACTGATACTGACAAGGGAATGTCAACCAGTTGTGGTGACCAAATGGCATGTGACATGGGCTATTAGATGCAGAATTTCATGCTGATTCCGAATCTGCTTTCCGTTTCTACTATGGAGCACTCTGTTAAGACTTATAAGCGCTCAAACTTTTTGTTATGTATTCTAACAGACTGCCACTCGACTACCACTGCCTCTTAAAGCCTGGAACTCACTGGAAAATCTGCTCGTAAACTCGAGGGATATTTTCAAAATTCATAACAAAAACTTTGAGCGTTTATAAGTCTTGGCAGAGTGCTCCATAGTAAAAACGGAAAGCAGATTCAGAATCAGCATGAAATTCTGCATCTAATAACCCATGGTCCATGTCATTTGGTCATCACAACTAGTTGACATTCCCTTGTCAATATCAGTACTTTCACTTGGTGTCAGAAATTTCAGGTCAGAGTTGACTAGGATCGTATCAGGCTAGCAATAAGATAGCTTCTATCTAAGAATGTTTTAACCGGGCTTTACTATTAGAATCTGTAAGCTAGAGCAGGCTTGCAAGGCACTACACCAAGTGGGTATTGCTTTGTCAGTGAAAGACACCGAAACTGTTTGCAAGACAAAATTTCAGAACGAACGACAACAATATGTGAAAGTGAGTGCGTGGATCATTGAGATAAGTGACTTGACTGATCAAAGTATTGCCAACGTTTCACAGGTGGTACGACGATTTTCTCTACTGGAATCCGGATAACTTTGAGAATATCACTGAAGTGAAAATTCCGTGGACCCAGATTTGGATCCCGGACACTGTATTGTATAATACGTGGGTTTTTAGTGTCCATATCAATGTCCAAATCAATGTCCAAATCAATGTCCAAATCAATGTCCAAATCAATGTTCATATCAATGTCCATATCAATGTCCAAATCAATGTCAAACTATGTCAAGAATGTGCTGATCTTTCAAGATTGTGTCAAGAATGTATTGATCTTGATCTAAATATCGAAATTCCAGTGTTGTGATGAAAGACGACGATCAACGACGTTTGATGTACGCAAAGATCACAACAAAGTACAAGGAAAAGCGCTCTTATGTCGAATTCCTCTATCCAGCCATTTTCACTTTCTCTTGCAAGCTCTACTTACAGTTCTTTCCATATGGTAAATATCACATTTTGTCCAATTCAATTTCTATCTTTAGATGTTCAAACGTGTCACATGATTTTTGGATCTTGGACATCGGATAACAAAGACATTGACTATCATCCGCACACAATGGAGGTCGGAACGAGCAACTATCTAATCAATGAGGGATGGACGTTGATGGGAACTCAAGGTAACCCGATTACTCAACAAGAACTAGACATGGGCACTATGAACTACAAAAATGACCAACCGTCACACTACAAACGCTTCTAAATTGCTTCAAATCCACCCGATTGACATGATCTATAGCTCAAAAAATAAAGCATCTTAAGAGCTTTCGAATGGATCGAACACGAAAAAACATCAACGCTAAAGAAAGTTACAGTGATTTGTAGTCCTGACTCGATCGCTTCGACTACGCGTTAGTACGGCCCGTTTCGAGTCAGGACTCCAAACCACTGTAACTTTCTTTAGCGTTAATGTTTTTTGGTGTTCGATCCATTCGAAAACTCTTAAGATCCTCTTTTTTTTTGAGCTATAGATCATGTCAATCCGGTAGATTTGTAGCAAGTTAGAAGCGTTTGTAGTTTAAGTTTGTAGTTTACGTTTGTAGTTTAAGTGTGTATTTTATGTTCATAATTTGTAGTGCCCATGTCTAACAAGAACTCAACTGTCGTTAAACCATGACTGAAAGAATCATGAAGTAGCTTGAGATAAGGATCATCAGTTAAACAGGCTTCAGCTTGATGAGCTTGACTTGTGAAGTTCAATAGCTATTGAAAGAAAGACAATTTCGTTAAGAACATCCAGTAAACGCTGATGTTATCAGAAGTCTTTCTATAGATAAAAAGTTATGACTTGAAGATTTTGTTGTAGTTTTCTTACTCTCGATCGTATACTAAGATACTAAGATTAACTAAGATCGAGATCTTAGTTAATCTTAGTCTCTTAGTCTCTTAGTATCATAGTCTCTTAGTATCTTAGTCTCTTAGTCTCTTAGTCTCTTAGTATCTTAGTTTACTCTTAGTCTCTTAGTTAATCTAGGATCTACAATTTCAGCATATCTCTAAATTTCAGTTGAACGACACGAAATGAAATACGTATGTTGCCCAAACAATTACACTCTTTTGGACTTCACTCTTTATCTGAAAAGGCGACCATTGTTCTACCTCGTAAATCTCGTCATTCCAACATTTATCATCACTTTAATTGCGATCACTGGCTTCTTTACGACAAGGTGAACTTTAAAAGTAACTTTGGAAGTAACTTTGAAAGATTTTGGCAAAGCAAAAAGATAGATGAGAGAATTTTCCTTCCTTAAAGCATCCTTAAATCTCTAACCTCTTGTTCTCTGCTCTTTGAGAACTCAAGTGTTCATTTCCGTTCAAAAAATGAACAAAGCCTCGGATCCACTTACCTCAGAGAGCAAATTTCATCAATTTTCAAAGCGACAAGTCTTTCTCTCAATTCTCGGAAAAATTTTGACGCGTTCAAAGATAATTGGTTGAAATTGAATTCGCTGAGGTGTAAGAAGGGGATTAAAAGAGTCGAATCAAAAGTTTTTTCCGTTCCTTTTTGTTCCCAAGAATAGAATGTGCAAATGAATGAGTTGAAGGGGCGAAAATGATAAGAAAATGATAAGTACTGATACTGACAAGGGAATGTCAACTAGTTGTGATGACCAAATGACATGGACCATGGGTTGTTAGATGCAGAATTTCATGCTGATTCCGAATCTGCTTTCCGTTTCTACTATAGAGCACTCTGCCAAGAGTTATAAGTGCTTAAAGTTTTTGTTATGAATTTTGAAAATCATGCCTCGAGTTTACGAGCAGATTTTCCAGTGAGTTCCAGGCTAAGAGGCAGTGGTGGTCGAGTGGCAGTCTGTTAGAATACAAAGAAAAGCCTATCCAGTCCGAGTTCGTCGTTCTATAGTTTGACTACAGTTACGACAGGGGGTGAAAATGGTAAGAAAATGATAAGAAAATGATATGGAAATATTTGTTTGATTAAATCAATTTCAATCAATCAATCAATTAAAATCAAACTTCAGTTCAACTACCGAAGTCCGTGAAGAGAAAATCTCATTGTGCATCACGACACTTCTGTCAATGTCCATTTTGATGTTAATGGTTTCGGATCAAATGCCCTCGACTAGCACTTTTATTCCATTGATCAGTAAGAAGATTTTGTCAACTTGCTTTTTCAATGAAACATTGCTTTGGTACTTTGGTACTTTGGCATTTACTATTTGCTTTTCTAATCCGTGAATGAGAAGGAGCAGTGAGCGGCCGAAGGAAAGCTCAAAGCGACTAGGGAAAGCTCAAAGCGACTAGGGAAAGCTCAAAGCGACTAGGGAAAGCTCAAAGCGACTAGGGAAAGCTCAAAGCGACTAGGGAAAGCTCAAAGCGACTAGGGAAAGCTCAAAGCGACTAGGGAAAGCTCAAAGCTACTAGGGAAAGCTCAAAGCTACTAGGGAAAGCTCAAAGCGACTAGGGAAAGCTCAAAGCGACTAGGGAAAGCTCAAAGCTACTAGGGAAAGCTCAAAGCGACTAGGGAAAGGTCCAAAGCGACTAGGGAAAGGCACAAACTCAAAGCTCGTGGCTTTGATTTGTTTTTTAAAAGAGTGTTTAGTTTGCATTTAAATGTTGAATTTTAGCGTAAATTTGCAAGGAAAATGTGCAAATTGTGTAAACAATTTAAGATCGAAGAAATTAAAAGAAAAATAGAGTGCAATTAGCTGCAAAATGCTAGAAGTTGTCCTAAAAGAAAAACAAAAAGATCATAAATAAACAAGGACCGAACCCTGATCGTGTGAGCGGAAGCGAATGCGTTAACCACTAGACCACCAACCTACGTTTACTTCGCTTACTTTACTTCACTTTACTTTACTTTACCTACGTTTACTTCGCTAGGAAAGAGCGTTTTAAAGCATCCGTTTTGACGCCAAATTTTCGATGCCTTTCCCTAGTGGGCTTTCTTTGCTTTTTGGTCGTTGATATGCCCAAATGTTTGGGATAAATTCTTGCATTAAATTTGGCTATATTCTTGCCTGAAATTCTATTGTGTTACTTAAACAGCGGCTAAACTGGGACAATAATGTGCTTTGATTTGAGAGTTTTGTCTCTCGATCTTCAGCATTTGTTAGACAATTCAATCTCAATTTGATAAAATTTGAAAACTGACAAAAACTATTGTTATAGTAGCTTTTCAGGTTGGTTCTACATGTGCGCTATTGTAATCATCTCGGTTGGAGCTATCGCCGCCTCGTTTGTGATTTCCATTCAGAAGTTTGGAAGACTAGGTAAATTAAATGTTAAACTATTAGGTTCTTTGTTTGAAAAATAGAAAAATACATGTCTTTCAGGCAAACGAATGCCAATGCGGATGATCAAAATCGTGCGTTTCATCAGTCGAGTGGCAATGGTGCGAATCCCGGCCCATCTCAAGCCAAAGTCGACTTTAATGAACAAGGTGTGTTTGAGCTTCAGAATCTAAGTTTCAGTAGTTTTGCAAGGCTTTGAAGGTAAGGGTGAATATCGTGATCGTAGTCCCCGATCGAACAAACCCCATGCTTTGGCTTTGAACTTTCAAAGATGTACAGTGAACTTTTTCCAAGCATAAAGCGCGAAATGAAGAAATTCGATTTAAAAAATCACCAACTTTAACAGTTTTTGAACTAGTTTTAAGCTGAAAGTACTTATAGTTAGAGCTAGTTTACTTAGTTACGGAGATATTAAAGATGCTGCAAGGTTTCAAAGCTAGGCAGCTTTGAAGAGTTAGGCAGAGCCTACAGTAGGACTCACTATCATTACTTGACAGCTTGTACTTGTCAGCTGACACAAGCTGTCAGCTGACAAGTAGCTGTCAGCTGACAAGTACAAGCTGTCAGCTGACAGTACAACGGCTGCAGAAAGTGCAGTGAAAGTACAAGCTGTCAGCTGACAAGTACAAGCTGACAGCTGACAAGTACAAGCTGTCAGCTGACAAGTACAAGCTGTCAGCTGACAAGTACAAGCTGTCAGCTGACAAGTACAAGCTGTCAGCTGACAAGTACAAGCTGACAGCTGACGAGTACTTTAATTGAATGACTTTTGGTTTGGGAATTGTACTAATACTGTTGTATTAGTACAATTGTACTATTGTACTATTGTTGTCCACATAACTACTAAATTTACTGTATAATCTCATGATCAGATAGGCTACAATTGCTGAGTAAAGAGTAAATTTGTAACGAAAACATCTGTTAAACAAGTGACTCTATATTGGAGGCCAGGCTCAAGTCAATTCCGGACCAGATCCAGCCCTGGCTTCTTGTGAACCAGACTCGTCTAGTAGGCTTTTAACAAAAACATTTGTCGGTCCTTTTTTGCCGTTAGCAATTTAAAGGTTTTTCTCAGCATCAACCTGTCGGCTTTGACTATTTTGACTATAATTTGATGCAGAATAAAATTGTGCGTCGAATGGTATCAAAATTAACCCAAAATAAATATAATATCCATGCAAAGTTGTTGGGTAAAAATCTAAACCCCGCCCATCATGGACCGGACTTAACCTTTTGCCGTTGGCAATTTAGGCTTTTCCTCAGCATTAACCCGGCGGCTTTGACTATTTTGTCTATAATTTGATGCAGAATAAAATTGTGCGTCGAATGGTATCAAAATTAACTCAAAATGTAATATCCATGCAAAGTTATGAGGCAAAAGGTCAAGTCCGGCCCAATATGCACGGGATTTAGGTTTTTAACCAACAACTTTTCGTGGATGTTACATTTTGAGTTGATTTTGGTATGATTCGACGCACAATTTTATTCTGCATTGAATGATAGTCAAAATAGCCTAAATCAAAGGGTTGGTGCTGAGAAAAACTCGAAAAACCTTAAATTGCTAACGGCAAAAAGGACTGATTGATGTTTTCGTTAGAAGTCTAGTAAAGAGTATAGTTTTGACAATCTTTGGCAATCATTGACAAACTTTGCACTTAATTCTACAGTACTTATTGATTGACAAAAACTTTAGCGATAAACTTGCATCCTTAAGAAAAGGTAACAATGAGAATAGTTGTAACTGTTGCCCGATCCCAGAAAATCTCACTCGCGCATGCCCGTGCGAGTTACGCGGTCAAACACAATCACCACTACCATGACGATGATGAAGATGATGATTTAGTGAGATCGATAGATAGCGCTTTTGCAGAACTCAAACCTTGAATGACTCTCTTGAAATTGAGCATGTTTCCAAGCAAAAAAATCCCCGATCGAGCTCCCCTGTCTATCAACCCCTGAATGAACCTGTCTATCAACCCTGAGAATGAGGATCGTTTGGAAGTAAAAGACGATATTTCAATTATTTCAATTCAATTTCATTCGAAAATTTCAAACGATCTATTCCCCGTCATCAATTTACCGGCCTAAACTAATTGTGATGCTATTTTCAGCGTCACTTTCGTTATAAATTCAAGGATGAGTCGCGGAAGTCGACAATTGCCCAATTCGCCAAGTATTTCTTCTCGGCCGGCACGGAAATGGCTGCTTATCCGATGGGAGATTACGCAAATAATAATGAGCCGCTGATCCAGAATGGAACTGGTAAGTGGAAATTCTGTCAAAATATTCAAAATACTTCTGACGTACTACCTTTCTAGCGTACTACCTTTCTAGCATCCTTCCTTTCTAGCGTACTCCCTTTCTAGCGAACTTCCTTTCTAGCGTACTTCCTTTCTAGCGTACTGCCTTTCTGACGTACTTCCTTTCTAGCATCCTTCCTTTCTAGCTTACTTCCTTTCTAGGGGAGGTTGACCCCAAAAGCGTACTTCCTTTCTAGCTAAAGTCCTACTTTTCAAGTCTCGATCTTCTACCTAATGAAAGAAAAGCTAGCTTCAAGTAAGTTCAAAATCACATTCATTCGATTACCTTAGAAATTCGATTTGCACTGAAGCGACTTTCAAGATTCCCCACCAGAAATGCAATTTGTTTAGTTGACAACAAAGCGAGCAAGATCGCAAGTCCGACCACAGTGACTCCAGCAGAACAGTGAGTTTCATGGCTTAAAGATTGGACTTATTTTTGTTCGTTTTTTCTAAACAAAACGAGAAGATCTAGTTCTTGGCTTACTTTAATCAACAATTAGTATCAAGATTTAGCTAAAATGTGCCAGCAAAACCGATAATCACTTTAAAATGTCAAGAAAAGAGCAACGATTCATAGCCGAGTGGTGATCAAGATTTAGAGCCATTTTTCAATTATTTCAATCATCAAAACACTTTCAATTATTTCCCCAAACCAACAACCCAATTTATTGATTCTCTAAAACTGTACTGTTCCTTATATTTTTAAATCAACCCATTTTTCTCAACATTGGCAATATTTGATACCAGAATTTTCGGAATACCAATTTTTGGAGCAAAAAACAAAAGAATTGGCGGCAAGAGGAGGCGAACCCACGACCTCTCTTCCGTTTGTTTGAGAGACGCGCGCGTTAGCCACTCGGTCATGCTCTAGTAGATGGCGCAGTGCGAGTGCAGTTGTCTCTAGCCCACACGACCGGGTTCGACTCCCGCCCGCTTCGGCACTTTTGGCTTTTTAAAAATTTAAAAACATCTTGCACAACTAGATGGAACTCTAAGCCAAACTATAAATCTTTTGAGAAGGCCCAGATGCCTAGTCAATAGAAGACTCATGTCTATTAGGCATGGGTTTCGGGTCGGATTGGGTCAACCCAAAACTCAAATCTTTCGGGTCGGGTCGGGGAGTCAACCCGAAGCCCAAATCTTTCGGGTCGGGTCGGGTCAACCCGAAACTCAAATTTCTCGGGTCGGGTCGGATTGGGCCGACCCAAAACTCAATTTTTCGAGTCAGATCGGGGGTCAACCCGAAGCTCAAAGCTTTCGGGTCGGGTCAGGTCAACCCGAAGCTCAAATCTTTCGAATCGGATCGAGGAGTCAACCCGAAACTCAGATCTTTCAGATCGGGTCGGGTCAACCCGAAGCTCAAATCTTTCAGGTCGGATTGGGTCGACCCAAAACTCAAATCTTTCTGGTCGGGTCGGGTCAACCCAAAACTCAAATCTTTCGAGTCGGATCGGGGAGTCAACCCGAAACTCAGATCTTTCAGGTCGGGTCGGGTTGACCCGATCCGACCCGACCCGATTACTCATGTCTAATGTCTATAACTATAACTGAAGTTTATAATATTTAATGGAAGAAGGCTAAAATCTTTAAAATGTAAAATCTATTCCGATTTTATTATTCAACTCATTTTCAAAAACAAAAGAACAAGAAGTAATAAAAGAAGTCTTGTTTTGGGTAAAAATGGAAACTTTGAAGTTGAAGATAGTCCGTCTGCGGACAGTTTACCATCCAGTTTAAGAATTGGTTTGCATAAAACAGTTTGTAATAGGTAAGATAATAAGGTTCTGGTTTTTTTCACAAACATGTCCAACTCTCCCCATTTCAGTGCCCAATTCCGAGCGAGAGCCTTTTCGAAAGTGGCCAGTGAAGCTGATGGAGAAGACAAGTATGCTATTTTTCAAGAAAATTTTAAAAATTGACATCCATTTTCAAGCTTTATTGGCTTTAAGTTGAAATTTGTTGGACTAGACATGAATTTAGAATTGATTTTGATGCGATTGAAAAGGAAGTTCGAGAGATGGAGTGGGTACAAAAAAAGAAATGAAAAACACTGAGCCTTTGATTTCTCTTTTTCTTTTGAAAATGACATGGAGAACTTTGCTTTGAAATGGATTTTCAGATTGAAACTGATCCTAACAAACTGATAGTGTCAAACTGAAAGTAACAAACAATATCAAAGATGCACTTAGCATTTAAAATAGCTTGATTGATGTATGGGGTTGGTGCATTGAAAACTGCCGGACTTTGAACTAAAATTTATTCAACATAAAACCATCAATTCATTCCAAATAATTTCCATTATTATTGACGACTTCTGCCCATTTTACAGGCAATTTGCGGATTCCTCTTTCGTTGTAGGATTTTGGTTTGTGTGTGAGACAAGTGTGAGACTCAAAAATCGAGGACTGGAGATGTCCCAGTTTGAGCACTTTCTTCAAAAGAAACCTATTTTGGTGTCAATAGAAAAGTTGTAGAGAATCAAAAATTAGGCTTATAGCCAAATTTCCAAAAAGATACACTTAGTAGTTTCGCTTAAAATGCAAGTTTTGTTGCAAGTTTTGGGAAAATTCGTAAATTTGGCACTTCTTGAAAGCCAGTTTTTGAATCGTTCTGAAAATTTGGATATAAGCTTGATTTTTGATTCTCTACAACTTTTCCATTGACACCAAAATGGGTTTCTTTTGAAGAAAGTGCTCAAACTGTCACATATGACAATAGCCGGGAGTCTTCAATTCACCAACCCAATAGTAAAGTAATAGTAAAGCGACCGTATTCTATTTTCCTACGACTTTAATTGATTGAATTTCCCTTAATGAGACAAGAAATTTAGATTTTACGGTATTTTCAGGTCATCCCTCAATTTCAATTCACCAACCCAATACATTGATGATTGATGATGAACTAAATTGCCTTATTGTGACACAAAGTTAAGAAAGACGATAAGAGTACGGTTGTCTTTTTGGAGTGCATCTTCTAGAAAGCACTTGAACGGAACAATAGGGATAAACTTGTGCAGTTTTATCTTTAAGAACAACTATCACCAAAAACATCAGCTAGGTCTTGATTTCCAAGTGCAATTTCTCCATGTCCTCTTCGAATTCTCTTCATTCAAAACAACTAACCCCTGGCTGAAGTGAAATTTCGCTTTTTGAATGTCATTCACACCTCTTCATTTTCAAAGAAAGCATAGTTAGATTCTTCTAATGATCATTCTATGGCACTTGTCTTTTGTCTGAAAGCTACAGATTCTAAGTGTCCATGTTTCAATGCAAAAAAAAAGGAAAACTGATTTAAACTAGTGGCATGCTTTATGTTAAACACAGAGATTCAGCTTATGAGATTTTTTAGAATCAAAAGGGAACTCTCAAAAATCGAATATGACTGGTTGGCGACAGTGATTGAACGATGCACTTTCTTGCTGTTTCTCTTGACGTTCTTGGCGGTTGCTTGTGAGTCATTTACTGTTATTTGGTAATAGAACAAAGTCCAGCTTTGTAATTTGAACTTACCAAGAAGAATACCAAGAAGATCTTATCAGAAGAAAAAACCTAGGTAGTTCTTGCAGTTTCATGAAAATAGAGATATTCCAACCGGGTTATCGGACATTTGATATGCGTCCCGCCCCTTTTGGCATTGGTAATCTAAATTTGAGCTCAATCTGCTATTACTATAACGGATTTAATCGATGCTTCAATGGCAAAGGGGGAAAGGCGCGTATAAAAGGTCTCAAAACCCCGCCCCCTTTTGCCATCGGTAATCTGCCTTTGAGCTCAAATCTCTTGGTGTTGGACTGTCCAATTTAAATATTCTTGGTATCATTGGATGCGCCAAGTCTTTCTCTGTCGATTGGTATAAAAACTATTTAAATTGAGCAGCCCAACATCAAGATATTTAAGCTCAAAATTGGATTGCCAATAGCGCGTATCAAATTTTCCACAATCTTGCCTAATGTCTGTAAAGCAGGCCAGAAACCAGACTTGGAACAAATTAGGTACAGTAAACTCGAGTAAATCCATTGTCCCATTGTCTGCAGTAAAGTAAACCAGGCCAGAGGCAGGTAAAACTAGAAGTAAAGTTGGGAACTGGTCATGACCAACCAGAAGCCAGAACCAGGATGGGCTTCTGATCTGAACCTGGTCTTTCTTGGCCAGGAAAAAGTTTTGGAACAATTCTAGGGCAATCCTTTGCTAGATCTAGATTTGACACTGAAGAAGAAATTTGATATGATATGCGTCCTGCCCCTTTTGCCATCGGCAATCTGCCTTTGAGCTCAAATCTCTTGGTGTTGGACTAGTTTACAAGAAATAAAATAACACTTTACCTTCAGCTTTTAGCCATTTATTGCCTGAATCTAATAGTCAAAAGTTGGCCTTGCTTTTTTGTGTGTAGGAGTAAAACGGAAAAACTAGCTTTATCTCCTTTAGCACTATATTTTCGAAAAGTTTTTTTGACTAAAAGATAGACTTGTTATGCTCTATCTTCAAGTCACAAACATTTCGAAAATAGCGTTTTAAAGGAGATCAATCAAGCTTTTTTCGTTCCACTTCTATTTACGTTCACACCGAAAAACGAAGCGCTAGTCAAAATTAGCTCTTTAATAATATAAATACTTTATTCAGAAAGAAATAAAGTGCGAAAACGACATGAAAAATGTACTAGATAAAAGATGACAAAGTCACTTAAAATGCAACGAAATAGCCCTTTTAAAATCAGACACGGTGGAGATGTCCATCTCCACCGATGGACAAACGCAACTTGTCGGGAAGGGCATTCCAAACTTTAGTCACACGATTTACGAAAAAAGCTCTAGGGGATTTAGAGGAAGCAGATTCGGGATGCAAGATAAAAGAGCCACGCCTAGTCGCAAAGCCTCGAGTTTAGTCGAAAAAGATTTTTAAAAAGAGGGTTTTGATGTTTTCCTTTTATTAGGGTGATGCATAAGTCTTTTTGTTCCTTTTCGTCTGCCGTTTCAAGCCAAAAAATGCACCAATTAAACTACGGTTGATTTCATTAGAAAAACCAATTATTTTTCTGCAAAATAACATTAAAACGGGTTTAAAAATATTTTATGCCTGGATTTTCTTGAGAGTATGAAGTCGGGTAGTAAAAAAGGGCTAACTCGATGATGCGGTTTAGACACCTTAGCTAAAGAAAACCTATCTTCGTGTCAATAGATAAACGATAGAGAAAAAAAAGTTTGATATTTCGCCAAAATTTCAGAGAAATTCATTCAGCCAATTTTTCCGTAGAGTTTTTTATAGATTTTTACGAAAAAGGCGTTTTTCACTCTCGAATTTGCTTGAAAGTGAACCGAAATTGATTTAAAAAGATGCAAATTGAACAAAAAAACACTTTTTTTATAGAGCAAACTATAGATTAATTGGTGAATTTGTTACTTTTTAACAGAAGTACGAAAAAAACGAAAAGACTTATGCATCAACCTATTACAATTTTAAAGCACTCAACCAAATCTATGATAAGACGGCGTTGTTCTAAGGTTTCAAGTTTAGAAAAAGGGACAAAGAGATTTTGGCTATAAATAGTCATCAAATCGAGCTAATCCCGTCAAAATCCAAAGTCAGAATCAATTTTTTTTAGTCGGAATCAATATAATCGGCTTTGTTCACTGGTACAACGCGAGACCGCCTCTTTCAGCGACGAGAAGTGAGAAGATGGTTTAGACAAAAAAAATGATGAAGAGAAGCCTTTTTTTTCTGCACAAATGGCTGAGCTCTTCCCCTCTTGACCCGGCTTTTCTTGCTTTTTCCCTTGTCATCGATTTCCGTACTCTTGTCTATTTCTATGCTTTCTCCGATTTTCGTGAACTTATTGTTCGTGCAAGTAGGGGATTTGAGGCAAAAGGTAAATGAAAAATATCGTTTCTGAATCAAAAACGAGAAAATTATCCGAGAAAAACGAGATATCCTTTCTGGCGCGCTTATTTATGATTATTTCATCGGTTTACTAAAAACTGGCGGCTGTGTGACCGTACCGTACCGAAAAGTACCGTTTATACCGTATTTCTTCGAATAGAAGATCGGGCAAAGAGTATCATCGCGTACTCCTGCGTAGCAGCCCTTTTTAAAATTTCTCTTCTGCATAAAAGCTTTCAATGAAGTCCTATAGGGCTGGAAAATGACTCAAAAATACCACATGAACTAACAGATTTTTGAGCCATTTTCCAGCTCTATAGCACTTGATTGAAAGCTTTTATGCAGAAAAGAAATGTTGAAAAGGGCTGCTACGCGCAGGGCTGCTTAAAAAGGGCTGCTACGCAATACTCTTTACCTGGTCTTCTATTCGAAGAAATACAGTATTTCAGTTTCAAAATTCGTGCCTGGACATTAATCTTCTGACCTTCTGATCGTTCCCAGGGTGTACAAGGTTTTTTTAGCCAGAATCTTTCATAGACTTATCCAAGCTGCGTGCTTTTTGTGTTATTTGATAAGAAATTTTTATTTTCCCATTAAATCCATTAAATTTAATCGCTACTGAATCCCAATAGTAAGAAATGAGAAAAGCAAACTATGATACAAGGGCTTGAACTTTTTGAATTCTAATTTTATGCAAATTTTGTCTCTATGCAAATTTTGTGGGTGTTTATTGGAATTGTGCCGACGTTTATCGTATTGTTAGCATCGAAATTCTACCAAATGCAAATCGAATAAGCCAAAGAGTTGTGGCTAAAGGTACTCTGTACACCAATGGACAAATGGGGAGACTCATTCGATTTTGCTTTTGGAGGCAAAATTTTCAGAATAGAATTGTTTCTAGATACGTTTTTTTTGCGCATTCAAAACACACAATCCTACGCCTCAAATACCTTACTTTTGACTGATCTATGCAATTGTAAAGAATCTCTGGCCTTTTGTAAAAGATTTGCGCTCAACTACGGGTCCTTAATATTAGGTTCGTGCATAGGTCTTTACAATTTTTTTTGCAAATTTTTCTTTCCATGGAAAAGGGTTCTTTATCAAATTTGTTGCGGTCTAAACTATTAAAAAGGGCTATCATTTCTCTAAAAAATGGCTTTTCTAGAGAAAACTTTTGTAGAGAAAACTCAAAGCTTTCCTCGACTCGGTGAAGCATTTTTATGTAAAATTTTCAATTGCTGTTTTAAAGAAAATGGCTGAACGAATCGTTTTCAAATTTTACAGACTTATGTAATCAAATAAGCTCTATCTTTTTTACTTTGACACCAAAATAGGTTTGTACTGAAGAAAGTGTCCAAATTGCGACTTCGGCGTCGAAGCAGTTTTGGGTGTTCGCCTTTGCGCCTTTGAAAATTCACAAAAACATTTTCATTTTCAAATTTTACAGACTTATGTAATCAAATTAGCTCTATCTTTTTTACTTTGAACACCAAAATTGTATTGAAGGTGTGTATTGAAGAAAGTGTTCAAATTGGCAACGGAGCTTCGGCATCAGAAGAGTTTTGGATACTCGTCTTTGCACCTTTTAAAATCCACAAAAAAAACTACTTCCAAAAATTTCTCAAAAGCCATTTTGTAGAGAAACAATCAACCTTTTTGATAGTTTAAATAGAATCTTGTTGGTGACGGCATTATTTTTCAAAAAACATTGTAAAGACTGGCACCGACCTAATAAAACTAGTCAACCTATGAACGGTTTTTCTTTTTTTTTTTTAACAAAACGTTTGGGCTTCTCGTTATGGGTATTCCGGCAAAAAAAAGTGTTTCCCGTTTTGAATAAACTCTTGATTTTCTTGCTTCGCTGAAAAAAAAATGACACCGAATGCTTTGAGCATACTGTGGCCTTGTTGGACTTTGTGCTCGAGTAAACGCAGCCTTTCGAGTGCACTAAATTCCTTCATTTCTTGCAATAGAAAGCTACAGACCCACTACGCAAACTACGGCCAAAAATTTGAGGAATTCTGTGCACCAGATGCGATGAGCATAGCTTTCTGCATTGCGATGAGCTCAAAGTACGCCAGTGTTCAAATCTGGCATACTGTGGCTTCTCTGCCTTTGCTAGAAGACAATTTTAGAAGACGATGATACAAGTGAATATAAAGTATCTTGAGATTAAGGCATTTGCGGTGAATTTTCAGATCGAGATCCGCTTTTCGTCTTCGGGCCACCATTTGTCCATGGATCGGGTTCCTAAATCGGCTAATACTAAAAATTTGCTTAGCAAAGTATCGGGTTGTCCAGTTATGAATGCGCGTTTTTACTATTCTGTAAATTTCTCAAGATACCGAAATCAAGAAAAAGATATATATGAGTATCATTCGAAAGCTGAAGATCTCCTCTACATTTTGATATAAAAAGTTTTTGAATTTGTTCAGTTTTTGGGCAAACTGACTGCACAGAAGAAGCGGTGACCAAAAAATGGAAGGGTGCCTTTGGATCAAGTTTTGGCTGCGCTCAAATTGAGTTAACCGTTTGATGTTTGGCCAATAGATATATCAATGCAACTTTTTTTTAAATATAACAATTTCAGAGCATCTTTACTTTTCTTTTCTTTTCTGGGCGGTTATTTTACACCATAAAACTTGAGGATTAGCTAAACTGGAATGGGTTTTTTTTGAAAACGACCTCTCCCTTTGTGCAGTCAATTTCCCAAAAAGTTGAATGAATTCAAAAACTTTTTTATTCCAAAATGTAGAGGAGATCTTCAGCTTTCGAATGATATATAACACTCATATACATCTGTTCGATATCTTGAGAAATTTACAAAATAGTAAAAACGCGCATGCATAACTGGACAACCCAATAAATCTAGTTGAAATTAGCCTTTGCTTATGGGTCAAAGTTGGTGTAAAAAACGAATTCCTGTAGAAAATACGAAAAAATAGCTCAAATACTGTTCAACTTATTTGTGATTTCTATTTGGCACTAACTTGATCGATAAGCAAATTTAAAACTGGTGCTTACATTAGGCTTAATCTTTAGCTGATGCTTAGCCAACTTTGAAATATTTACTGAAGTTGTTACTATATAGAAAGAAATTTCTTCAAACTGTATAAATGATATTCTTTTTAAAAACAAATAAAAATTTGAAGTCATTGACTGATTCACTTACAAACACAAGAAATGAGACAAAAGGAAAGTCTGTGGGGTAGCCTAATTTCCGCAATATTATTTGCGGTCGTTTGCGGTCAACGCAACAGGGCCGTTTGCGTAACTCGTCATAACTTCCTTCAAAGATCTTTTAATACAGAAATGTAGGTAGACTGGTCGGATTGGGCTCATTTGAGGGTCTGAAAAATCCGCTGCAAAACTCCAATCAAAGATCTTTTAATACAGAAATGTAGGTAAGAATTTAGGCTTCAACTCTCTATATAACACTTAGGGTTTTTGAAGTGATTGTGGCGTTTGGCATGCAATCTGATGAAAAGGTGAAGCCGTAATTTTGGCGCACCCTGTTTGATTCTTGGATCGTCACCGCACTCTTCCGAAGCCTGGCCTGTGACCCTATAGGAACTCTAAAGGGCAAAATATGTATGGATGTGCATTCAAAGCTTCAATTGAGTCAAGGGAACAGGGAGCTGGCGACCCAACTACCCGTTATTTGTACCTTTGCCTTAATCCAACGGATAACTTGCACGAATTCAATAATGGGGCTAAAATGCGGAAGGATTCGAGCAAAATGGACCAAGATTTGTCCCAAATTGCCACAATTTAACTGATTTAATTTGTATTTAACATCGACTTAACAGTGAGGAAACGAGCAAATTTAGACAACAACAAGATTGGGGGAGGGAAAGGTATCCAGACGAGATAACAATTGAACGAGGTCGAGTTTTTGCTCAATAATGATACTTGATAGAGCGAAGTTCCGTAGTCGTTTCACGTTTTTCTTACTTTGGAACTACTTTTGGATGTAAATTTGTAGTCTTGAATGGAAATCGCAACGGTGGTGCCGAATATTTAGATGCGTTGACAGGCTTTGAGATGCGTTGACAGGCTTGAGCTTTGAGATGCTTTGACAGGCTTGACAGGCTGTGGGGAATGATTTAAAAAGAGGCTAACTCGAATGAAGATCAACAGAAATGTTGTTTATGTTAAAAAGTGTTTAAAAATGTTTAGAAATGTTTAGAAATGTTCAAAACTTGTTTTCTATCACTAGATACATAAAAGCAAACGTTTTTAGACGTGCGTAAGTCCAGGAGATGGGTAATTTTTAACTTTTATAGTGCAAAAAATCGTTTGAAAGGCTAAGCCAGAGTTTTTTTTGCTCAATAATGATACTTGATTGAGAAGCTCACTTACTCGATGATGAGAAAACGGCATTAAAACACTAGTGAATCGATTGAGATGCATTAACAAAAGGGACATGTTCTGGATGTGAAATGCGGCCACTTGGAACATGAAAAACACGCGAAATGGCGGAAATGTGTCCTCGACATCGGCAAAAAACCGAGCCAACGCTCGCAACGCCGGCAATTTCACTGTCGGATATGTGTTAATATAGGTGAAGAGATACTAAAGTTAGATTTAGAAATATGTGATTTATTTGAAAGTTTAAAACTGACCACGCACAAAACGAATAAATAAACCCGATAGAAAGACGCTTGTAGAAGGGTTTTACTCTTGAAAATGCATATAATTAGTAAAAGATTGAGAATCGCTGACGGAATTCCGTAGATACAGTAGATGATGAATTGAAATTCCATCAAAATTTTTGAGAGAATGAGAATCAATGGGATTCTGATACATTTAATAGGTCGAGACAGCTGGAAATGTTTTTTTGGGTTGACAAGGTAGTGATTAGGAGCAAATTTAGACACTAATCACCTGGGAAGTCTTTGGGGAATCTGGAAATGGGAAATGAGATGAGAAATTAATGAAAAATATAGTCTGTTTTGAATTGTTTTTAACAATTTTCATTGGACCGAATAGTTGTTGAAGTAGACAGGGTGCGTCATAATTGTCGCAACAAGATAAAGTTCTGATTCTAAGGCAGACAAGAGCAAAAAAATAAAATTTTAACTGAAAAACATTTATTGTACATTAACAATTATAATTGAACTATCAAATTCGAATCGGCCATCATAATCGACCATAATTTGAACAGGCTCGCTACTTGAACAATCCATTGGGGTTCGCAAAGGCGTCAACGGTGGCACCAAATAGGCTGCATCGAGCTCTTTCCACGCTTTCAACAGTGATTTCTTCAAGCTTTTAATGTTTTTGTGGCCCTTTGAACAAGCTTTGGCTTCTAGAACCACCCACACTGAAAAATCCATTGGGTTGAGGTCTGGAGAGCTAGGTGACCACGCAGTAAAAGAAATGAAGTCCGGGAAGTTGTTTTGACAACACTCTTGGACTTTCTTGGATTTGTGGGCCGGTGCGCCATCTTGCTGATAAGTCCAAATGCAATTTCCAAAATGTTAACGGGCCCAGGGCAAGAGTTCATCCTTGAGAAGAGTCAGGTAGTTACCGCACGTGATACCTTGTGGCGACAATTATGGCGGACCCTTTATGAAAATGAAACAGATTCGATAAGTGTTTTGAGCATTGGAGCGTTTTAGCATTTGGGCTTTAGCCAATCGCTCCTCAGTGATTACTCATTTTTCGAATTTGCATTTTGTAATCGAAATTGCAATTCTTGATGCTTGTGGCAGAGCAGTCTTATTTTCACATTAGCAAAAACGCAAATTAATGCAATATTCTTATTCTCTTTTGTTGGAATATTGAAATGTTTGTGTCATCCGTCTCAAGATCAATTCGATTAGCTAAAGAGATTCTAAACAATTGATTGGCTACAATTTTGGCAACTAGGAAATTGGCTTGAAATTGATTACATCCCTTTTTGCAATCTCTATTCCAGATTTCTTAACATTGACGGTTTAGCGGCTCGCAAATTGCTTGAGATTTCCTTGTAACTTCGATTTTGTGAGCTAAAAAATTAAATATTAAATGTCTTGGCCAATTCATCATTTAATCTTCAGAGCTTCAAGCTTGAGCTTGAACCCTTGTTTTAAAAGGAGCATTCCAGACCACATCCGGTGCTTGAATGTACTTGGTGCACCCTACAGGTACCAGAATCTAATCAATTTGCAAATCCTTTAGAAATTTCCTTGTAACTTCGCTTTTGTGAGCCAAGAAGTTAAATATTAAATGCAAAATCGTGACGATTCTCGACTCGGTTAACGAGCGTCGAGTCGAGCCACGAGTCGAGTCGAGTCAGGTCGTCAAGGACCTCTGGTTCTAGGCCGGTTAAAGTACATTGTTGCAATCAATCAAGAGTGAGCTCAAGAATCAAGCCGAGAACAAATGTGATGTTGGTCGTTTGTGGAAGGAGTTTTATTAGATCCAACAAAATCTAGGCTGTGATACTTGTTCCGATTTCAATTCTAAGATTCCCATTGCAAAACGAATGTGCTAGTAGGTAACAATCAATGGCCCTAAAAAGTTCTGCTTCTCATTCACAATAATTATTTATCTATGTTTGTTTTGCCACACAAAGTCAAACCAATTTATTAATCCTAATCTAATGAACAATTTCATAAAAGTCCAGCCGAGGCGTCCGTTATAACGTCTTTCATATTGATTCGTATAAAACCTGAAGAATCAAATTGGTACCAATCTTGGTTAGACTAAAATGTACTTTGTGTACCAATCCTACTAAAACTTACCATTCTCTCCCCAGCTTTTCCCCCACGAGTTCGCGTATAGCCAATATTCTTTTCCATCTTGTTCACCCCATCCCAACAATTTCATACAATGACCATAAATCACATTGGAGAAAGTTTCACTTGAGTAGATTCCTGAAATCGTTTTTCAAAATTAGTTTTGAGGCTCTGGAAAGGAAAAAGCTAGACACTAGCTTGGTCTAATTCTAGCAAAGTCTAAGACTTGGCTTCTGCTACATTCCATAATGCTACAACCTGGCTTATGTGCCGGTTGGAATCCCCATGCTGAACTCACCATATTCATAGTGTTGAAACTGTTCATGCACGGTCATACAGGCTTGAATGGGGCCAAAGTGGTAGATCTCGCGTTTGATCAGCTCTTTGCCATCTAAAAATATATGGAAAATGATTCAATCTAAGTCCAGTTCTGATAAAAGGGTTATCTGAAGCTTTAAAATCCGAGAAATCTCTGCTACTAGGTTGTTGAAAAAGAAATTTGGTTTTATTTTACAAATTGAATCAA